AAGAGATGATTTTTATAATGGTGCATAATGATAAAAGACTGACTGATGGCTGGATTTGTCATTGCTTGTGGTTTCTTATACTGAGGAACATAAGAAATGCCTCTTCCTTTCCAGCAGCAGCATTCCAGGTCTTGGCAGACAACTGAGTTAATTATGAGGAAGGTCTAGCAAAAAAAAAATGTAGGCCCTTCTCAGCATACCACGACTTCTTTTAATCAGGAGTTCTTGTGTCATGAAGTAGGAGGAAGAGACAAACTTTGTTCCCTAGAGTCTTCCTGCTGCTTAGTCCCCCTGTGTACCTCAGGTAGCCTGAATCTGCAGTTCAGTTAGAGGGTCAAGTCACACTCCACAATCTTCCTAAAGCACTTTCTGCAGCAGAAGGAAGGCACTGATATTAAACACTATGTGAAACTGCCAGCATGCAGCCATTCTTGCAAGTTTGCTGCAATTTCAGCACCTGGTTTGCTTTCAGTTCCCAGAGATCGAAGCTTCACCCTCTGGGAGGGTCAGTGGAAAGCTCAGCCCCAGGATTTCCCCTATTTTTGCTCCGTATCTACAGGGAGACCAGATGAGCCAACCCCAGCTTAAACTCTTCAGTTTGTTTTCAACCCCATGGCCCCTCTGAAATCCACCCATGCTGGAGAAGGAGTTCTTAGTTAATTTTTCAATAGGCAGTTGACCTCTCTCAATGTCTTCCTCCAAATCCTGAGGTATCTGATACTATTTATCAACAAAGAACCAAATCTGAAGGCTTGTAATGAAGCGAAAATCCCTCTGAATTATTCTCTCTTGCCCAAAATGAGACATTTAATATTTTCCTTTTCTCCCTTCAGGCAGTAAAGACGAAGAAATGGTGACATGAACAATGAAAACAAAAATACAACAGAATATACTTACCTCCATGAGATGGAATCTGTTTGAGAGTTTTTGGATCTGCACAGTGCATACTGGTGGGATCAACACCCATGACTGGGCTCCTACATGTACAGGCTATACAGATAATAATGACTGCAGAAAGGCTGGAGCTCACTGACCAACACCACTCCCTGACTGCAATTTAAGGACTGAAGATATGATTCACCCCACTCAGGCTGTGTTCCATTTCATTTGAACATTTCAGAGTCAGTTTTGCTCTATCTGTGCTCAGTTTCTGATGTTACAACTATGTCTCTGATGGAGATCACTCACCTGCTTTACTCCATGTTTATGATATTTTACAAGGCAGAACATAGGAAGTGTAAAAAAAAAACCTGAGATTCAAGATTCAATTCATCTCATGAGTAGTGCTGCTACACCATCGAAGCACTCTAAAGTGACTTTCACCCATACCAGAAAGCTAACGTGGCTCTAAGCCTCTGGCGTATCAGCTTAAAAGCATTTCCCGTGGTCTCCTCATTTCTTTTGAGAATATCCTGTAAGTGATGTACGACCAAGGAACAAATACAATTTCTCAGAGTGCTTAGTTTTCATTTTGGCACAATCTGTAGTTGCTATGTTCCAAAAACCTCATGGGAATTCAATTATCCCAAGTCCTACTGTCCTGGGCCCCTTCATCTGATTTAGCTGAAATTGACTAATACATTCAGAAGTCTAAGACATGCACACACACAGAATGAGACCATACAAACTATACTGAAACAAGCAGCTTTAAGATTTTAGTCATGCAAGTTTATATCTATGTTAGCATGAATTCCCAGTCCTACCTGTGCTAGTCGTTTGCTAAACCTGCCAAAGGGTCTCCTGAACTGATTGTCTCTCAGCCACAGGATTCAACCCTTTTTATTTTCTTTTCTCTCTTTATTTTTTAATATTATTTTTTTTAATGTGACTCCTCTGTGTCTTCCTGGGATTCCTATTAGTGGTAAGATTGTCATTGCCAAAAGCCAATAAAAAATGGTGGGGAAGTGTCTTCTAGGAAAACAGCATGTCCCTCTTGCTTCCTGAGTGGATGCTCAGTGCTTGCCACAGCCACCCCACCTGTGAAATGTCCTGACACCCTGACCCATGTGAGGAATAGATAAGCCTGTCCTTCGGATCAAGGCACAATACAGGCAGAATGTGTTTATTCTAGCTCTTAATGCTGCTAATTATACAATCTAGCAGCATGAACCAACTTCAACTCTCTCAACCCCTTGCCCTGTATTGCCCCTGTAGGAACCACCAGGAGACAGCAAGTACGACATGAAGAGGGTAAAACAACACAGAAAAGAATGGAATGAAAACAATGGAATGAAAATAACTTTCTGAAAGCTTCTGAGAAGTCTGGCAACTGTTTGGGACTGGGACTGTGCATCTGTGCAAAACTTCTGCCACTAATGGCCAGTTCCACCTTTCCCATGTAGTCTGCTTTTTCCTATGGGTTCTCCCAGCTCTGATAATAACCTGAATATTACAAAATATAATGTCTCCACCGGCATTACTTAGCTGACACCTTAGTCATTTTTTTGTCTGCCAATCTAAACTTGTTTAGTACTCATTCAGTTAGGTGAATTCCACCATGGAACTGGAAAACAAATTGAGTCTCGTGCTTAATACCTCTGCAGCTTCCAGAAAGAGGGCAAGACAGAGAAAACATCATTTCATAAAGCAAAACTTCTGAGCTTTCTTGCTTAATAAGCACTTTTCCCTAAGAGCCAATAGAAAAACTTTCATCTGATCTTTCCTAATTGCATAGAATTGACCTAGATTGCCATAAAGCCTGAACTCTAGGCAAAAACTGAACTTCTGACAAAGCAGTCCAGGTTTTAACCCAACTAACACGCATCTGGAGGTCCCCTTCGGACTCCATTTAAACACTATTGTCAGTCTTCATGAACTGAAGTGATAAAAGCGTTAATTTGACTTTTAACAGTACTGAAAGCTCGGGGAAGTGTGGGAGTTTAAATTATAGATGCTTCTGGTAAGAAGTACATCATTATTGTTAATTTCATCAGCCACAGGAAAAACGAAGACTTTCACAGAAACCCAACAAAGATAATAATTTAATGGTCTAATAGGATGTGTACTACAAGACACTGAAAACACAAGGATTATTTAAACATGGAATGATGAATATGTCCTAGTCTTACTCAGGAAGAGTCAGTGCAGCTGCATCCTGATGCCAAATGCAAATAAAAGCAAGGCAAGATATGAAGTGAATGATTTGGATTTGCTTCTCTGTAGTCAGCAGTGGAAAGTAAGGCAAAAACAGAGACTTCAGACAGTAAGAAGTCTCCAGTCGTTTCCTAAAGCTCTTCTTCTCATGACAGTTTTGCATGTACAAAGATTAATAGCTAGTGTTGTGTTGTCCCCTTCCTACTGTTTAATTTCAATAGTATAGTTATAACATTTGTAACATCTCTGGCTATTGCTAAAGTAACTGTAAATGCTTATGATAAGAAATTCATATATATTTACTTGTCTGACACATTTTCTGTGTATGTCCACAACATTTAGTCCGTTGGTTAAAATATGGGGCAGGATTTTGTGCAGGTGATTGAGCTATTAAAATGGATATTTGACAACTTTAATATATAGAGGAACATTAGAATCAATCTCATACAATGTCTCGTCAAAGTAGAGAAAAACTATTTAAAACTCAGCTCAGTTTCCCACCTCTCTTATATCAGTGATACAAACACGATAAAGCACAACCCAAAACTGTTTAAACAGAGACACAAATACTTCATGGAAGCTTAAGAGTTGTACTAGAAATATTCCCATGGAAGGAATACTTCAAAGCAGACAATGTCCGTTTATGTTAAACTCCTCAAAATGCCCAGCTTTACAGCTTCATTCAATGCTTTTTCATCTGCAGGAGGGTATAACTGAGAAATTGATCTACAGATTCCAAAAACACTAGGGCTGTCAAGCCCGATCTCTTTATACCTCCATTCACATCACATTTTCCAGCATAACCAATACTCTGGCTTGCTTTTTTTCCTTTAGGGAAGTCCTTTAATCTTGGAAGAGGTAAAATGAAGGAGTGACATTAGGATTTCCAATGACTGGACAGCTCTATTACCAGGCAAACTATATGCTGACTCTAGAGAGGGAGAAGAATGGGATTTTAATGAAAAACTGCTTAAGACTGAGATTTGTTTGTGATTTGTGCATGGGCAGAAATAAATGAACTGCCTGGATTCTGTCCATCACTTCCCCATTATCTTTCATGGTGATCTTCAGCATGGTATAGCATAAAGATTAAGTTATAGTTCCTATCTTGGATGAATCTATTCTTACTAATACTTGAAAATAATCCTGAAGTTCATAGCTACCTGAAAGCATCCTGGGGATTTCAAAGGGAACGTCATCTGGGATATAGAATGTAACAGGGTGATGAAATATATGCAAAACATTCCCCATAAACATGTAGATGGTGATTTCTTTAGGGTGGCTGAACTCTACATGGATTAAAATCAGCTTTACATGTGTCGTACTCAGGTCTTCTTCTCTGGTAGGAGATATCGCCACTGAACCACGTGTACATATCAGACCAAGGCTAAACAACATTAAAGATTCCAGAAAAAGATGCGGGAAAGGAGGAGCCCATCCACTTCTGACCTCTTTCATCAGTTAAAAGCACTGAGAATGAGAGTATCCTTTAAGGGTCCTGACCTGGTCTAGTGGACCCTTAGGTCCACCTGAACTAGACGATCTTTAAGATCCCTTCCAACCAAAACCATTCCATGATACTACGATTCTATGACCTGGAAGAGTGCTCCCTCAAGAGCAGAGGTTCCCCACTGCCATTCCCAGAGTGACTTTTCTAATAAATTCTTACCCCATCACAAATGTCCTGTTTTCCTTTTATTATTATTTATGAAAGAGTGAACTGAAAAGCATGAAGGTAAATGAGTGCAGAATCCAGTTGAAAGCATTCTAAATATAGCAAGGGCAGCAACAATTCAAGCCTTTTCAGGAAGGAGGAAAGCTGAAGGAGATAACCTAGGTGAATCTGAACATCCTAAGAAAACCCAATGGGAGAAAACAAAAACAGAAAGTCAATCAAGGAATATGATTAGGTATCAAGGAACAAGCAACTTCTTGGAGATCTAATGCAAGGTCACCAACTCACGAGGGTTTTGAGAGAACTCTGAATCAGACAAGAGATGTAGTAATCGTCATTTGAAAGACAAGTGCTCTAAAGAACCTTGAATAGAAGAAATTTAGATATTGACAGGAGATGCACACAGAAATCTTGCCACAAGCAGCAGCTCCAAGGCAGGGATATTTCCTAATCAAAATGTTCAGAATAATGCCAGAAGCTATGTGAGGAAACAGATTGATAGGCAGCACAGAGGGAAGATTAGTCTCTAACCACCTAATTGCAGCTGAATATCTGAGAGCAGCAAATCACACCAAATATAGTGAATATAATCAAATGTGCTTCCTGGGCCTTGATGTGAAGGGAAAATATCTTTCCAGCGCTCCTGTATACGCCTGGTTCCCAGATGAATCAAAGTCACATGATTGTTTCATGGTACTGTTGCTCAAGACCCAGCCAAAGACGCTGCTTATATGAGGGCAATTCACAGAAAAACAAAGCCTATACACCTGAAATGCTCCCACACTGGGGGTTATTTGTGTTCTTGCTGCTGTGTCTGACCCCTGGCAGAGGTCTGTGGCTGCAGTGTTATGCAGAAGCAGAACTGTCGTGGTTTAAACCCAGTCAGGTAACTTGTTCACTCACTCCCCCCCTTCTTGCCCTCCCCCTACTCCCGGAGGGACGGAGAGGAGAATCAAAAAGAATGCAACTCCCACAGGTTGAGATAAGAACAGTTTAGTAACTAAGGTATAACACAAATCACTACTGCTACCACCAATGATAATAATGATAAAGGAAATAACAAGGGAAGAGAATACATCATCTCACCACCAGCCGACCGATAACTCGCCCCCCCAGCCCGACCAAGCTCTGACCGATACCTCCTCCAACCCTGCAGTCTCCCAGCCCTTCCGGCTAACTCCCAGTTACATCCTGGGCATGACGTGCTGTGGTATGGAATACCTCTTTGGTCAGTTTGGGTCAGGTGTCCTGTCTCTGCTTCCTCCTGGCTCCCCCTCCTCCCTGGCAGAGCATGAGGCTCACAAAGGCCTTGGCCAAACCAAAACATCCTTGTTATCAGCTCTGTTCCCGAGCTGAAAGTCAAAACACTGCACTACACCAGCTACCAAGGAGGAGAAAAATGACTGCTACTGCTGAACCCAGGACAAGAAGGCACAATGTTGGCTTCTCCAGCATAAGTTTTACTTGGCATACCTCTGTACTGTTTTCTATAACAATCTGGTCACTACCATGAATCCACTTCTCCATGTGTGCCACCAAACCACAAGTATAAATGCTGCCCTTTAGGTTGGAAGCCCGAATGGTAACACTGATGTCGCTCTTGGGAAAGAGCAAAGCTCACACATTCTGACTGCTGAGCTATGCACAATGTACTAAATTATATTTGACGTGGGCTCCTACAAATCCAGCCTGTAGCTCTTAAGTAGAGGCATGCAGCTGGACAATGTAAGAGCTGGATCCAGAGATCTTCACTAGTATAAGACTTCCTTAGGACCTGGTAGCCCACCTGGAGAAGAAGGAAGGCAGAGCAGGTGTTGTACAGTCAACATGCACATCCCCATTCCTTGCGGTCAATACATAAGTTTTAAGCACATGCTCTTTGTCCTGTGAAAATTCCACTGCTGTTCGGGTACAAACACCTATCATGGTTTGAAGGCAGACTGCATCAGCCCCTGACCTCTCTGGAAATAAAAACCTTCAGAGTATTTTACAGTATTTGGCCTAAAGGGAAAAAAAAAAAAAAGTGGGATGGGATCACTGTTACCATCCCTTCCCCAAAAAAGGAAGGAACTTTCCTATTGCACAATTCAGAGAATATCAGTAGAGTTATGGGCAGCTTTGTCTCCAGGGCAGACCCGGGCTTTGGAAAACTATAATTTTATTGCCACAGTTTTCAATACAGTGGTGACTGCTAAATGATGAGTTCACATAAAGGAAATGGTTTACGTACAGTGCCTGCCTATTCTTTTCTAGGAACCTAATTAAAATAGACATATTGGAAGCTACCTCTTTTAGTTCAGATATTCCAATTTGTGTTTCCCTGACTTTCAAAGCATTTTAGAGCCATTAAATGGTTAAATTTAGCCTGGAGGTTTTCTGCCTAGATTGAATAGATTCCTTGTGTGCTTCAACACAGTCTGCTTTGGACTCAGATCTTCAACTAAGACTCAAGGCATCCTGGCTGATCCAGGGAATATTATACTCTAGTTCACAATGTTGAGATTGTTGGCAATAATCCCTTTGCTTTGACCCATAAGCAGCTACAAGGTAGCCCTAATTATTAATGGACTATAGCCCCTCTTATAAAATCCACTAAACATTGAATTCCTCCCAGTTCCTCCCAATTTACTTTTGTCAATGTTTTAGACTACCTTCAGAAAAGTTACAGCAAGGCTAATATATACAGATGCAGTGATTTTATTTGCTGCTCCACTATTTTATGAGTGTGTACTGCAGAGCCTAACTTCATGGCAAGAAGATTTATGGTGCAATTACTTTCGTATATTATTGTACAATTTGCAACTAATGGAAAATAAATTTACTGGCTACACTTCAGCTGTCAGAAAGTCTGTCTGCAGAATGTTATGAGAGTGGAAGGAATATGTGCTTCTCTCCGTGAGTGGGAACGTTAAATGACAGGCATCGCTTAATCTGATCAAACATTTTAAACTTGATCAGCTACCCATATCATAATAAGTAAAGTTTCTTGCAAAGAAAATTAATTATGCCTCATAAAGGAAACAGAAGCATTTGATGTTAAGAAGCAAATAAAAGACTGCCCAGCACACCCACTCCCAGGAGAGTCAAGCCCAGTCAATCATCTTTCTAGCCAAGTGTAAGAATTAAGAATTCCACAGCCTCTTTTAATTGCTTTAACTGGTAGTGTTTCCCAGTGGACTTTCATGTTTCACTTGGCCTTTTTCTCCCCACGTTGAAAAAAATGCATCTGATTATTAATCATGTAATTGGATTTCCAGTTCAATGATTAATGTCTAAGATCCAGTATTTAAGAAGAACAAAAGTAGACGCTTGCCCTCACTTTTGACATCAGACTTTTTTGATGGAGAGAACTTCATTCATATCAAATGTTTTGCAACTTACATTTATTTCTCAGCAACCTGCCAGATCAGGTTCAAGTTAGATGCCTGCTAGTAAACGTCCCTTTCATCAGAAGCACTGAAATTAGAAGCATGAAATTGGATGGGAGAGGATGGAAGAGTTCAGTAACAGTTTTCAGAGGCCCTAATACTCAAATAACTTAATTTAGTAGAAAGCCAAACTCAAGTCTCTTGGAAATCAAATGGAAGTTTCCTGTTGCAGTGGAGATGAAAAGCTGCTACAGCCTGATGGGCATCTAAGTGAATTCAGCCTATATCAAATCACAGTGAATGTGAAAAATTTTTGTTTGATCCTTATATTTGGAAGAGACTGAAGCAGTGCAGGCACCTGTGGCTGTATCTGTTTCTTTCCTCAGTTTCTACCTTTTGCTCACAACAGCTGGACAATCCTGTTTAACAGGTCTGGACTCTGACCAGACTGTTCCTATATAGATGGTAATATGACATGTCCGCACCATAAAACTTTCCCTCACACAAATAGAATTAGATCTGTAACAAATAAAGGCAAAAAAAACCAAAATTAAAACAAAACAAAAACATGACAACAAAAACCATTAAAAATACAAAAAATCAAAAGTACCTTTGTTATATATTGAAAATACAATGAAACCAATGCCAACATGGAATGATGGTAAGTCAGGCTTCCATCCAGGATCATGTACAGTGGGCATGCCTCCATATCCTCTACTTCAGTCTTCTTCCTGGACAATTTAAACTAAACATGAGGATATTAGACAAATCTTTAAATAATGCAGACTATGAAGCCCCATAACCATGCCCACGTCAGAAGGAGACAGTGGTAAAGTTGTCAGTCTCAAATAGCTCAAAAGCATCTTTCAAGTCACTTTAAATAGTGACATCTCATCACGTATTCAGCTAATGGGAGCTGAAAACACTTAAGCACTGCCACATTTTGAATTTAAGTATAATGGTGATGATCTGCTCTTTAATAAAGTCCTCACCTTATACAACATAAAGATTTGCATTGTCTTCAGCAACTTTTCACTTCAAAAGGCAGTAAAGTGTTTACCTTCACTTCTTATTGCTTCTTCACCACTCTCCAAGCTTCTGATCTCTTCATGTGTATGGATTATCAAACAGCAATCCTCTATCCATGCCCTGATCTGATAGAAACACCTACATAGGAACAGAGATGGTCCAAAAGTACTCCTTGAGGAATTTAGACAAAAAAAAATTCCTAGTTAAAATAAATTCTATTAGGTAATAACAATAACTGCAGCAACATGGCCTTTTATTGTCTCTGGGCACAGGCTTGTGTATTCTCTTAGTATATCTTGTAGACGTCTTTCATTGGGATGTACATAGGTGACTGTACTTCTACAACTTCTCATCTCCCACTGTAAGTGAATTCAATTCCATGGCATTTTTGGGGCGTGGGATCATAACTCATACAGAAGAAATGGAGGCACTACAAAGCTACATTACCCTGCAATCTGAGACATGCGGGAGCCTGTGACCCAAAACAGTCCAAAGCTGTGTAAAGGACAACTTGTTCTCTCATCTCCTATTCCTCTGCTGCTGTGGGGTTCCAGGGTGCCCAGAAACCAGAGGACTGGCCTCCAAGGTCACATCTGCTAGCATACACCTCCCATTGCTACTCTAACAGAAAGCAAAATAAACCATTTAACCTCTTCTTTATCTGATTTTCCTTCTCATTAAAAAGGTAATAGCATCAATATCTCTTCCAGAATAATGACAACACTTCCACTCAAACATTTATGCAAAACAAGAAATGCTTTTTGTGGCAAAATGGAAACTACGCTGGAGAAAAGGAACTCTCATTCAGTAAGTTTGTTGCTGATTATGATTACACATCTTTTTCTCTACAAAGGCAACCAAAAATTACATGAGCTTAGTAGCTGAGGCCTGAAACAGAAAAGCCAAATCATTTCCTAACTAATAACAGTCTTAACAATGACTTAGGAAGAGTATTTATGGACCCATTATAAGTCCCCATGGCTGTATAAAGTTAACTGTGATGAGCATTGGCTGATATATGAAATTCTTGGAAGAGATTAGATTATTAATGTGGGCACCAAGATAAGACCACAACTTTCAGCTTCTAGGTCTGCGAGACTATTACGTGCTGCCTTTCTCCAAGTTAGCTTTCACATAAGTAAATGGGTTGGGTTTGAGAGAGGGAATGGATCTTTTTCATGCTTCACTGACCTGGAGGGAGAGAAATTATAAAGTTAGACCTTCCCAGTGGGTTAATTTCTTTAAAACTGCAGATCACTGTGAGGCAGCCTTTCCTACGTGCAGTCTGCTAGGTTTCCTATGAATTTGAATTGTGGCTTTTAAAAGTAATGCGAGTTTGGGGATGAGTAAATCTAAATAACCCTGCCCTGCTGAAATTATTCACATATCTGTCCATTCCTGAGCGTTACACTAACAAGCACTGTGCAAAGATAAGGCATATCTATGTATGGCATACAGACCTGACTGCCAGATACCTGAGCCTTCTACATTAACAAGCTGAAGACTACTATTATATCAATTACATCAATTAAACCAAAGCTGAGTTTGAAGGTCTGTCTACCAAGAACATAATGACTCATGAAGCCTGCTGCTGTGCTGAAGCTCTGTATTAAACCCCTGGCATCTATTTCTTTTTTCTTTCTAATGCCTTCTAGAGTATCTTCAACACCAAAAAGTTCTGCTTCTTTCACAGTGCAGAGCACTCTGGCTAGGTGGGGGTCAGCTCAATCTGTAGAAATGGAGAAGCAAGCAAGAATGAAGCTTTGTCTTTGTGGTCTTCATGTGGATGTGGCTTCTGACCCAGATTTCAGGGGTACACCATGGTCTCCCCATTTACCCACCTATTATTTGTAGGTCTCCACATCTACTCAGTGAAGAGCTCCACAAAGCTTTTTCATATTTGCTGTCTTCTGGACTACCCTGGGGTGTAAGACTCAGAGGGCATTTTCTGCCTCAGGAGAGGAAATATCTGCCCTGTCTTCTCAAGTTTCTGCTTGTAAATTGTGTGAGTCAGATCTGCCCCTTACCTGGTAAGTCAACCTGGATCAGGGATGGGCAGAAAAAAAGCTGGTCCTCCTGAAGCACAGTGTTATTTTTGTGGGTCTAGCTAACCAAAAGAGAAGTTCCACATGCAGATTTCTGCTCCATTATCAGCTTGGTAACAGGGGATGACCTATGTCTCAGTACACTGGGAATCTGATAGTAGCTGTGGAGACAGCATCTCAGTAGTCTCAAATAACAGATTAAAACTGTATAGGACTTTTGTTTATCCCAATGTGAGGACCTTTGAGGTTAGATTCCTTATCAGAATTGACCTGTTACACTTTTTCATGGAGTTCCCTTTCATCAGGATCCTCTTCTTGGTCTTTCTCTCCTGCTCCCCCCTCTGCTGAGCATTTCCCATGTATTGCCTGGCAAAATGATCCATTGGTAACTCTTCTCTATTGAAGACAATATTTTCAAGCTGATCTATACTCCAAGATAAATTGAGGCCTTAGCGTTAGTCAAAGGGAAACCCTCAAGCAATCCTTTTACACTTCCTTTGGGGTAATGTAAATAACCAAGAACATTGAGCTTACATTTTTAAAGTGGACTAATGAAATCAATTGACAACTTGTCTCAGCATTTTGGTTCAGAATCAATATACTGTTCACACACTGAACCTAAAATATTATTTTGAAAATAGAATAGAACAGAACACAATGGAATATTGGAGTAAGTGAAATGGCATAAATTCAGATCTGCATAATTCCGAATTTTACTGAATTTGTAGTTGCAGTCTTTTATTTCTTCTACAGATCAGGGTCTGGATTCTCTTTGTGCTGTTTTGCTTCTGTTCAAGAGAAAAGAAGGCTGCATTATTTTCTGCATTACTTGTACACAGGAGAATACGGTACACAGAAATGTAATTTAAAATCAGGGAGGAGGAATTCTTGACTGATACTTCATCCCTCCTCTTTTGTAAATATATTGCTTCAATTGCAAGTCTGAATACTGCCCAGTGTTACCAGGATCCTTGCAGATTTTCTTTACACACTTAATCGACAGAGACCAGATTCCAACAGAAAAATAATAGTAGTATGTCGTTTTTCACTGTGGTCCATTAAGTACTTTGGGAAAGCAAGAGATGTGACTATGTTCCCCAATAATCAAGCAAGACTTCATGATCTGCAACTTTCTCCTCTGTTTCCATGTCACTCCCTTTCATAGATCTTTCAACATCCATGAAAGCTTTGTGATACTTTATGTGACAGGAGATGCCATTCGAAGAGCTCAACTGCAGGCAGCTAGTTTATCTCTCCAATTCTTTTTCTTTAAAAAACATTTGGCTTCCCTCTCCTTTTCCCAGTGCTAAGAGTGGTCAATATTAACACCACTGCTAGTCAATGAGCCTAGAATAATTTGAGATGCCAATCACATTTGCACACACACAACCTTGTTCTTTTCTTACAGCAAAACCACCGTCATCACCCACCACATCATCCTCCCACAAACATCCCTAAAGTCTCTCAGCTCCCTGAAAACCCAAGGAGAAATAACATTTCCTAACGATGTGAACTGTATGGCTTGGTTTTGACAAGGTAAAAAATGAGCATGAGTCATCATCTGTAGCACATCACCTCTCCCCACATCCCACTAAACCATTCCCTCAGGTTGTTTGAGAAGTCTGTCCCAGGAAAAAAAATATCACAGAGCTGGCAGAGAGGCATTAAATTGATTTTCCAATGAAAACGATGGCTCCATGACAACTTGGCTGAAGATCTGTTGTGGTATGTTTGCACAGCACTTTGTGCAGCAGAGCCATGACCTATTTTCATACTAGATGCTAATGTGATCAAAAAGACACCAAATGTTTTATGGTTTCCATAAGTTTTCCAGCCTGGTCAACATACTACTGCTACAGGAAAACGCTTTTCTTTCTGTTGATGCCACACATTGTATATATGATTATAGTATCAGTAATATTGATCATAATATTGCTATGAAACATGAAGTAGGTTCTTTGACATGTTACACACTCACCAGAAAATAGGAAAGATAACTTGTCTGCTGCCTTTTAACTCCAGCCTTGTTCAGCTCTTATTGCTCTCTCAGATTTCTTTATTACCTTCCCATGATACATCCCAGTTGAAATTAAATTGCAGCTCCTTCAAGACAAAAAGAGGAACCTCTGGCTTTGTTTCTGTACTAATTCTACTTAATACTACTACTACTTTCCTGTTCAAGACAGCTGTAAAGAAGATCCTTTTCCACATTGCCATGCCAATAGTCCTTATCAACCAGAAGCATGCCTGAACTGAGTGGCCAGCACTGGATGCCTCAGAAAAAGTACAAAACTTCCACGATTGTGTAATAATTCCCCTTAAGGAAGTTTGTTCCTAGTGACAGGATGCTAGTGGTCAGCTTAAGCATTCACATACAGAGCTAATGGAATTAAGGACTATTTGCAGTGTTTAGGAGGCAGCAGGCAATACGGTTAAGAGGGAATCAATGGGATGCTTAAAAAGCATCTTGGTTCATAGACATGTTTTCTTAGTTTTAAGCTTTCATTCTGTTCCTTTCAATAATTCATGCCAAGGTGATCAGGGTCCTCAGAATTTGTATAGCCAGAGGGGAGGAGAGTTGTATGTACAACCTGAGCATCATAATCCAAGTGTATATATTTTAGGTACTTATGTCTTTACAAAAAAAAACATGTTTTTCTGTTCCTGAAGGCATAGTCTGCTTCTGAAAAATGATTTTCCTATTGCCAGCATTAGCTTACCCAGATTCTCTGCTTGGGAAAGTGCTCAGCCAGACTAGGACCAATCACTCAGCAGTGTGGACAATCCTGGTGTGCTTGGGCAAAACAAAGGACAGCTAGGCAGGTTGTCTTCTGATGGTTCTTTCTTAAACCAGAAATACTTGATGGGGTGAAACCATGGCTGATAGGACTATATATTTTAGCACAGGGTGGAGGCTTGTCAGCAAGCCCTCAAAATAGTCTAAGCCTGGAGTCCTCTCCTATTGCTCTATTAAAACTACAAATCAAAGCTGCCACAAGCTGTCCCATGGGCTGACAACCATGACACAGGATGGAATGAAAGCAAAGCTGGACTGGGTTGGACAATTGTAACACAGTCGGCTGCCGACGACAACAGCCATAGTATTTCTCCACCACACTTTCATATCCTGTAGTAGTTTGTGTCCTGAAAGCACATAGACTTTTAGACCCAACACCTTGCAGCAGGGAGTCCAACAAGAAGACTCCTCTGAACTGCATCTCCTTTGCTTAAGGTGATAATATATAACTAAGCTAAGACTTCCAAGGGGAGTTTGGAAGGCTCAGATTACACACAAACTATAAAATGAGTAATATGTACTTACGCATCTTAATGGAACTGCCAATGGCCAATTTGGTGCACTTTAGACCCCTATTAATAGCCAGGCTCCATGGACAGTTGAATAAAACACACTTCCCTGGAGTGATATAATAGCAAGGGAGGACTGACCAGGGATAAATCCTGTTTGTCTGAGTTGCTCAGTAACATGTAACTACTCTGTAAACACAACAACTGTTGTTGTTTCATAAGTTCCTTCTGGGCTTATCTGTTGGACTAAATGTTAAGCATATTGACCAGGTGGTGCCTTTTGTGATATGTTTATTTTATTAGTGCATGTCCTTGAACTAACACTGCATTTCATACGTACCTGTCAGGTACTGAAAGAACTCAGCATCTGGGATTGAGAGCTCAGGAGAGGGTAGCTGAGAGGTAGAAGGGTGCATTTCAGTACAGATAGGGAGCTGCAATTACACCCACACAAAAGGCAGAGACACAAATGGCTCACCTTGTAGAGGACATATTTACACACATTTTACTCTTTAAAACCAACATTGAAATACCAGGCTGGAGTCAGCCCCATGTCAAATCTCCCTGTTTTTTTCCTAGTAATGAGGCCATCTGCTTTAGCCTGTGAGGCTGGCCCTGTTAAGTGAATAAAAAGGCATACTGAACTATCCTCCAACACCTTATCCCTAGCCCAACATAGACAGGTATAAAAATCTGCCTGTAATTTCTGTCTGTGAACTGTGGCTGATGGCACTATCACCGGGGTGGCTTTTTCAGGCTGATGGATTGGTCCTGGTGTAGCCTAATGGCTATAACGATGCCATGGCCATTTCCTAATGCATTCTGGTTTGCAGGCACCTAAAGAGTGTGCAGCCTGCACACACTGCCTTACATTCATTGCAGCCTGCACACACTGCCTCACATTCATTGCTTCCAGAGGAGCAGAAAGCCTTGGGCTGATCTGGGTTCAGGCAGCATGCGCCTAAACAAGCTGAGAAACAAAAGGTACTCCGGCACAGGGAAGGGTTAATCAGGTTCTCAGCTGCTAAACTGAAAAGTTACAAAAGAGAAAGAAAGGTACCTTGAGAAGCATGTGCTTAGCACTGACCTCTCTCCCCTGTGGTCTCACTTCGGGGGTCTCCGAGGCACTTCTCAGCATCCTCCAGCAGCTGACTTGCCTTCAGGCTCAACTCTGCAGTCAAGGACCAGGTAGATCCAGACCCACTCCAAGGACCTGTGGGGCTCCCTCTGAGTCAGCACCTTCTTCATCCTCCTGCTTCTCTTTCACTCCCGACTTCTTCTGTGTCTTTCTTCTTTCAGTGATGCAGCTTCAGCAACCCCACAGGGCAATGATGACTGCAGCTCCTCCAGTCTTCTTTTCCCTGCATGTTGCAAATGGAAGTGTAGCAAGGGAAACTTTGTGTGGTCCTCGGGGTCTCTCTGAACTTAAATTGCTGCTTTGTTCCATAACTAGTAAGTGCCTTTTATTTTAAATAGCCTTTTTGTCAGACACATATTTTAGAGGTCACTACAACACTTTGTAGTCATGATTCTCTTTGCAAGTGCAGAGAGTCAGCAGCCAGAGTGATTTTCTCCATCCTATCCCTCCAGTTGCCCACAGCTAGTGGCCTCACACACGTTCGGTCCCACATTTATCAGTATGAGGGGATGGTGCTCTCCAGCAGAAATAAAAGCAGAGCAGTTCAGTTGGGAATCTCACAACTTCTGGGTTTGTGGCCACTCGTTTCTGTTAGAAGATGGACATAGAGATCACTAGCTCATTTCCCATTTATCACTAAATGTTTCAGTAGGAAAACAACATTCCATAGCAAGCGCTATGGAACGTGTTCTCGGCTCATCTGAATGCAGCTGGGGCTGAAGTTCGATGCTTATTATAAACCAAGGACAATTAGCACACAGCCATCAGGTCTGTTATCCCGTGGCATCAAAAACTCCCCAGCTTCACTCTTTTTTCTCTTTTCTTTCTGCTCCTCCCCCTCTACAGTGTTTTCTTTCCACTTTCTCAAGCCTTAAAGGACCTCCTGAGGTTTTTGTATTTCTGGCTACTCTGTTTTCCTTTATGAGGGATTTGCCCTCCTCTTCTCTTGGCTGCTCCCCATCTTCCTCCCATGAGCCAAGAAATTCCTGACAGCTGCACTTCCCATCTTGTGTTTTGCCATCATCATCATTTTATTTGTGTGCATGCATGCGTGTGTGAGAGAGAGAAATCCAGCCAGCCTAGGAACACGGCTTGAATCCTACACTAATTAGAGGTGGAGAGAAACACTCCATCCCTCCTTGCAATAGATGCTCCCCTGAGGACTGATGGCTGTAGTGCGGTGGCAAAGCCCAAGCTCACAGCCCTGGGAGCACCTGGGAACGCCCAGAGGTCTGTGCTTTGGCATACGCATTTATCACTGTATTTGTTGAAGCCATACAGCTGCCCTTCTCCCTGCATGGTTCTGCTGTTGATCTGCACTGGCTTTCAACTTTTACAGCAGGCAGCTGTGCTCCATGAAGAGACTGGGCAGGATTTAATCAATAAATGTTTGAAAATTGTCCAGTTTTTTCCCTTATTCACTCACTGACTCTCAGCACATCTTTTTCCCCCTACATGCACTAGCAGGTTTTCAGTCCCTTGCCCTAAGACCTGTACCAGCAGCTGTACAGCTGGTGCTGGTGCTGTGCCAGGGTCAGATGCTCTCCCACATTGACTACAAATTGTAACCGACAGTGATCTTGGACAAGCAAGAATCACTGTTGATTTAAATCGCTGGTTTTCAATGAGAATAACTACTAAATCCCACAAACTCTATCCATAATCCACTACCTCTGAAAAATCCCTGTCTCTCTTTATGACTCAGCATCTGGTAGACAGCTGAATCCAAACTCGTATAGCACCATATTAAACCCTTCTCCAGAATAATTTCTCTATGTATTTCCTAGAACCGTACAAAACCACAAAAGCAGCTGAGTAAAAAATGTAATGTCACAGTACCATAGCAACAATGGTAAAATATGTGCTTCCTGCTTATTCACTTTGATTAAGAAAATTATTCACAAGGCATCAGATGTTTCAAAAGAAACCCATCTTGTGGTCTGTTAGTAAGAACAATACACTCTAAGCTATGGGGAGAGGTAGCTTTCAAGGCTGAAAGGCACTGCCAGTTAGTTTCTATAGGAAGTTGATAAGACGCTACACACACTTCTTAGCTTGATATTTGATGCTTTGTATCATTTAATGTTCCCATCCAGAAAGCGCTTAAGTATACATTTAATTTTAAACATACAGGAGGTGACATAAAATTCAACATGAGTACCTGTGACCTTCAAGTTGAGTCCATTTTTCATACTTCTAGTACTTTTAACTGCTGTGTTGGAACACAGCTCAGAGAAGTAACAATGTGCTTACAAGCTTAGCAGCAGAAGTGGGTTCAGTGCCTCTCCTCTCCCCAGCATCTCCTTCCTCTGCAACCCATTCTATCCATCCTTGGGACCACCAACATCCCCTCTTCCCTTAGCCTCCTTGCAGTACTTTCTGAGATCTGCCTTCCAATGTTGCATTCTTCTCATGGCACTGTGTCCTTGGGCTTGCTCCCAGCACTGCTTACTTATTACTAGATACTGGGTGTGTGTAAAGCCCAAGTGAAAGTGTCCACGTCAGCTTTTCATGCCCTACTGGCACCTGCATATCAACACTGCACAAGTACCTCACCCAATGGTAAATGTACCCAGCACAAACCTGGGTGATATCAAGGAGCTTGGTGGCCACCACGCCTCAGAAATTTGGCTGGGAAGTTTTATAAGAAGTCCTTTTTTTCTCAGCCTTAGATGTTACACTGATGTTTTGTCTTTAGCACAAACACATGCATGTGACAGCCCCAAGCGCTACGATGTCTCACTTGAGGAATGGCTGCATTTCAGCTGTCTTTGCATAGTTGTTCAATTTCAGTGTTACTCTGGGGCCTCAGGGAAAGTTGTTCCATATAATCCATTATAAATTATTCTTTGTCTGCACACAGTTAAACAAATGTCTCACACATTGCAGGTGTTTCTAACTGTGCCAAAATTTCAACTTGTTGATCTTATCAAAACAATCAGCCTAAAGTATCAAAAGGTGTATATGTCTCTGTCTTACCATGTGGCTTGATGAGCATGAGGCACATGCGTTTCTTTAGGTATGTCCTTTGCTTTGCAGAACAAGGCAGTGGAGGACAGGATGTAGTCACAGAGCCACAGTGAGCGAATCAGATCTTTCTTGTTCATCAGTTCTTCTTCCAGCTTCTGGGAGATCCACTGGAACACAGTACAGCCAGAAGGATATGTGTTTTATAAATAAGCAATGACAGACAAAAAGCAATTGAATTAGATCCCCAAAGCTTTACTAAGATAGATGATCCTTGAAAGTACAGCTACGGTATTAAACATAGTAAAAGTATAATTCTTAATTTCCAGGCATCCGTGAGAATAATTACCATCCTTTGGGGAGTATTGTAGTGACTGCAGCTGGTAGATCTCTAAATGAGACAATATTTCCTTTTGATATTACATCATTAAGATAACTGATTCCTATACCCAGAAAAATGTTTCATATAACTCTTTCCTCCCTTTTCTTAATGTGTGCAATTGTGGAAGAGCAGCACTGTAGGGATTTAGTGGTGGTATCTCTTTATGAGTCTGAACTGTGACACGGAGGACTCGGTGAGTTTATTGATTTTAATTTCTTATATTTGGGATTTATCTTCTCAGCTTTTACTTAACAGCTGAGAATACTCATGGTGTTAATATAGAAGGTTGGCTACCCAAGGGCAAATTTCAGATCCTCATTTCTTCACCTATGCATTTATTTGTTTGCTTCTGGATGGATACCAGCTGTCAGGCTTTGATCCAGGCTTTGATCAAGAGTGGCTAAAGGGTGCACTCTGTGAGAGAGCATTCCTCTCTCTCAGCCTCCATAGCTAGAGCTGAGAGTAGCAGGGGCCTTAAGTGTGAATATCAGAGGAAAAGATCAGGCATTCCCTTTGAAGATGCTCTGTTATTGAAATTTAGATTCTGATCCCTGATTTGGTCTGAAAACCCTGAACCACAAGGCATATGCTAGGGTAATCTAGGGAGTAAAGGGATCTGAAAAACAGGAGTTGCTATCTGTGGAGGGCAGGATATTTTCTTTTCCTTTTCCAGGAAGACAGCTGGAATGGACCTGAAAGCAAAGGGAGAGAAAACTCAGTGAGAAAATCCCCTTTTCAGGCTGTTAGGTAAGTACTACCATCCCAATTTGGAGCAGCGAGGAAAAGCTTATTGACTTCTTGGATTAAACCAGACTCAGCAGATCTTCTGCCATTTCAGTATAGGGAGGTTTGTTCAGCCAGGATGATTTTCTTCCTGAAGCATTTAAGGACTAAGCTAATAAAGTGGTTTATGGCTAAGAAATCATGTGGCAACATAGGAAAGATGAAGAGCTAGGAAACAATAGTGCAGAGCTCGTGTCATCCTTGGAAGAGGAGTTTTCTCCTATGGATGCACCACTGAACTTTGATGCCAAGAGAAGCAATCTTTGTCAGTGATTTGCTGTTCACCATGCCCACGTAACTGCTCTTTCTCCCATGGCACTGCTTTTATCTTCTTCAACTTTCTTAACATCTCTGAAGCAAGTATTTGCACCCTATTGTGTGTTACATTCCGGCACACAGAGCCACAGGCTGGATGTTGCTGGAACCTTAGGCATTCCTGCCAGGGAGAATTAACGGCCATAGTTTGCTAAGGGTAATGAACTTTAATCACAACTTTCTCACCTGACTGTCTTGGTGCAGTAACACAGGGATTTATGTAAGCTTTTCTTTAAAGGGTTGTCTCTTTATGTCTTTCCTTGCCTCCTTTTGTCCTTCCACCCTCCCTTCCTTTCCCTTCTTTCTTCCAGCACTGCCAAGAAGGTTGTTATAGCTTTCTCTATCTTCTATTCTGAGATAGGATCAACAGCAGCCAGCTTCAGCTCAGAACTATGTCCAAAGTTCCCCCATGCAAAGGGCCAGAATGCATTCATGCCCATTATGGGTGTTAGGGTGGACTCATTCATGGACTCGCTTCTTTCTGCTGTGAGATTCTCTTGCTGCAGTGCTGTTTTCCTTGGCACAGCGCATAAAATGAGAAGGAAACTTTACATGGAAATCTCTCCAGCTATGGGAAACATTTTCCCATGCACATGTCCTAGCAAGAGATCTACTGCATCCATAATTGCGCTCAGTACTTGGAATGCGGTGACGTCTCCACATTTAATGACCAAACATAGTCTTTGCCATTGCTCAAGAGTAGAAAAGGCTCTACCAGCATTAACCTATGGTCCCTTATCTACTGCTGTCCCGTCATGCTGTCCATCTGTATTTATATGGGGAAAAGTTGTGTTGTCTGCTACCCATGATGCCAAGCTGCCTTGCAAAGAATTGTATTTGTGGTATTTCTGTTCTTCTCCTTCAGCTTCTTTGGCAGCAGTGAGTCAGTCTTTTGCTTTGTAGTTCTCTCCATCCCTACCCTTCTGGTCTTGCACAAGCTTTCCCTAAAAATCCATGAATGCTCACTGGAAGTTGATCCATAAAATGCTCAGTGCTTCAGCTTTGCTTTCTGTGATGAGAGGACAATGGTTGTGCAGTTCTACAATGTTGTCCACCAGCCTGGATGTCACATCTGAGATCAAAGTCACAGCAAGCCTATTGTCAGAGGTGCCAGAATGCGCTCTTTGTACACTAGCTTCAGATTAATCCTGGTATTAGTGACTCCTGAAAACAACCACACCGTGTTTTAATTAAACAAAGCACATACAGTTCTCAAACTGAGAGGAGAAATGATGAGGGTGATTTCGTCCCTCCATATCTAATGCAGACTATGATAGATGGAGGAACCATGCTGAATACTCATAAAATGGAATGGGAATAAAAGCCTTCACTGCAGGGATCACCTGACCATTCAGTTACTCTTCACCCCATGTACCCTTCAGGCTGTTGAATGAGAGATTGCTTGCATTTGCAATCATGATCACATACAGCTCCTCCCACAATCTGATCATGCACTAACTCCTGTCGAGCTCAGTGCTTCTCAAACACATACATCTTTCCTTGGTAAAGCTGCTTCAGGTGTCCTCTCCCCTAAAAGCAAGATTTCTGTTTCCAGTATCAGATTGGACACATTCACTGCCAATGGTTCTATTATATCTGTGTGCCCAGAGTAGCACCTGCTGATTAAACACAGATGCAAAATATCCTTTTAGCACTAGGATTCATAAAATTTAAATTACAAAGCAAGAGCCTTCATACTTTTATTTTTTTTCGTACTCTGTATATTTACTCAGGACCAATTTTTGACTTCTTTTGGAAAATGTAGCTCAGCTTGAGTTTTGCGTGAACATCTTAATTACATCCACCAGATTAAGATATGTCTCTTCTGATCTTCTTCTAGAGGGGGTAAATTAGCCTTTTAATAGCCCCATGGTAGCTTAGCTAAACTGCTTACTGTGCTGACTAAATTCATTTACGGTTAGTTTGATAGCTCTCCACTACATCGTGCAATATAGAAATAATTCAAGACAATGGAGCACCATTAGCCTTTAATGATTGCACTTGCATCAGATTGTAGGTGGGTTCACAGGCTGCAGTCCAAAAGAAGCAGTTTGCACCAGGCATCTCTGCAGAGAGATAGAGGCTAAACATGGGAAAAGGGGTATACAACTCTGGGAAGGTTTTCAGAGGAGCTTTGGGAAGAAGGCAGAAAAAGAGTTGGTAGCAGAGAAGAACTGCTGAGGTCTGATCAAAGAGAAAGCAACCACTATCAGGAACATTTCCACAGTCAGGGGTCCTACTAGCATCAAGCCCCTTTTGCCATGCTCTCAAGACACTGCTGTGAGAAGCCATTGTAGCGCTACACCAACAGAGCTGTTTCCCTACTTGGGTCCTTCTTGAGCAAGCCAAGTCCTGACCCTTCTGCAGCGACTAAAAGACTGGGGCAGTCCAGAAGACGGAGCAGAGGATCTGCCCTACAGGGAAGGCTTTTCTCTGCACCACTTGACCAGACCAGTACTCATGTAGGAAGTATATTTAAAACACTGTGCACTGACAAATCATTGCTGAAAGAAAAACTTCACTAAGCAGCTCTGGGAGATACAAATCTCAGGAAAAACATAACCCATGGTGCCCAGCCTAACAGTCAGTCCCTTTCTTTCAGATGAATAAGAGACTGATTTCTTCATTTAACCACAGTTTTGCCCTTCCCAGGACTTTCCACATGGTGCTGAGAAGAAAATGTTCAGTCCTGGCTCCATTCACAGTGATAAAAAAAAACACTTCCAGGCACAGGAAGCAAAAGGCAAGAGGTCCATTTTGTAAGTTACCCACCTGTACCAAAAAGAAATTTAGAAGAGAATCATGCAGATGAGCTAAAATTGGAGATAAGAATTAGCTTCACCTCATTGTAGAAAAAGATTTCCATATCACCTGTGCAAACCAAGCTGGGGTGAGTTCAAATTATCTCAGCATAAACCAAACCACTTTTGCATGCTGTACTAATTTTTCTGCCAGATTAGTGAGTTGAATCAGTACAGAGTGTGTCTTATACGTGCCAATGCTTGTATGGATAAATAGCAGTATCTTAAAGTTTTGATTGAAGAGGAAAGAAGCCTAGTGAGCAGTAGTCAGCAAGGAGATGATCTTAGAAACATAGAATCATAGAATCATTTAATAGTTAGGGTTGGAAGGGACCTTAAGATCATCTGGTTTCAACCCCCCCTGCCATGGGCAGGAGTGCCTCCCACTAAACTATGTCATCCAAGACTCTGTCCAGCCTGGCCTGGAATACCGCTAGGGATGGAGCATTCACAACCTCCCTGGGCAACCCATTCCAGTGCCTCACCACCCTCACAGGAAAGAACTTCTTCCTTATATCCAATCTAAACTTCTCCTGTTTAAGTTTTAACCCGTTACCCCTTGTCCTATCACTACAGTCCCTAATGAAGAGTCCCTCTTGAGCATCCTTGTAGGCCCCTTTCAGATACTGGAAGGCTGCTATGAGGTCTCCATGCAGCCTTCTCTTCTCCAGGCTGAACAGCCCCAACTTTCTCAGCCTGTCTTCATACAGGAGGTGCTCCAGTCCCCTGATCATCCTCATGGCCTTCATCTGGACCTGTTCCAACAGTTCCATGTCCTTTTTATGTTGAGGACACCAGAACTGCGCACAATACTCCAGGTGAGGTCTCACAAGAGCAGAGTAGAGGGGCAGGATCACCTCCTTCGACCTGCTGGTCATGGTCCTTTTGA